CTATACCTACAAACTCTACAATGAACAAGTCATGGGCAACCTGAAGCATGCCAAGAAACAGCTGCTGGGACCCGGCTGGACCAAAATCGCAACAATAGGTCTGTTTAGCGCAACCTTGTGCTGGAATGGCCGAGAGTGTCAAGAAGAAATTTACGTGATCGACAAGTTACACGATGCACTTCTCGGACGTCCAGCAACCATTGGATATCCTTCTAAGCCTCCTCGAAGTCACAGCGTCAACAAGCAAGGTCAGTGACCCTGCTAACATTCTCTGCCACTACCCCAACTTGACTACAGGCCTGGGTCTTCTCAAGACAGAATACAAGATAATATTACTCCCCGATGCCAAGCCGAGTGCTATTACGTATCCGCGGCGAGTACCCCTACCCATGCTGCCTAGTGTCAAACGTGAGTTGAAGAGAATGGAGAACCTTGGCGTCATCATTAAGGTCGACGAGGCCACAGAGTGGTGCGCACCTATGGTAGTCGCGAAAAAGAAAGGAGGCGAGCTTCGAATCTGTGTTGACTTCAGAGGGTTAAACAAGAACATTCTGCGGGAACGAGTTGTAATGCCCACTGTCGACGAATGTTTGGCCAGACTTGCCGGAGCTACATGATTCAGCAAGCTTGATTCAAGGGCTCGTTATTGGCAAGCTCCGCTAGCAACCGAGTCCCAGAAACACACTACATTTCTGACGCCATTCAGCAGGTTTCAATTGCCCTTTGAAATTTTGACAGCACCCGAGTTTTTCCAGAGAGAAATGCTAAGAGTTCTAGAAGGCATCTAAGGCCAAGCATGCCTACAAGACGACATTATAGTGTTTGGCCCTTCAAGGGAATAACATGACGCATGACTGCACAAAGTACTGCAGTGCCTGCAAGAAGCTGGCATCACCTTGAACGCAGAAAAATGCGTACTACATCAGCAGTCTGTGAGATTCCTGGGATACATCATGTCGGCGAATGGTATCAGTGCTGACCCTGAAAAGGTCCACGCACTGTGTCACTTAGCAGAGCCTACAGACGTAACAGAGGTGAGGTCCTTCTTGGGAATGGCCAACCATTTGGCCAAGTTTCTCCCGAGGCTTTCGCAGCTCACAAAACCGTTGCGTGACTTGCTTCACAGCGACGCCGAATGGTGCTGGGACAAGCCACAGCAAGAAAGTTTCAACGCTGTCAAGAAAGCATTGACAAGGACTCCAGTGCTTACTCACTACGACCCTTGTAGTCATCACACTGTGTCGGCGGATGCATCGTCGTACGGTCTTGGAGCTCCTATCTCTTGGTCTCCTATCTCTTGGTAAGCTCCTATCTGCTTGGTCTGCAGTTTCACCTGGAAACTGATCACAAGCCACTGGTGCCACAGCTGTCATCAAGCCGCCTGGACGAACTTAGTCCCCGTCTGCAACAGTTCTGTATGAGACTCCTCGAGTTCGATTACACCATTGCCCACATCCCAGGCAAGGAAATGCATACAGCCGATGTGCTCTCAAGGAAACCGCAGAAGGAAACAGACAACAGCAGCCCAAAGAGCCTCAGCAAGGTCATTGTAGAACATAAAATTCTCGCAATGGAACTTCTGCCAGCTTCCCACAATATGCTTGAAAATATAAAGGCATCACAAGAGAATGATCCTGTTCTAGCTTGAGTTAGGGACTACTGCACGACGTCGTGGCCCAAAGAAGTGGCACTACCTCCGGACGTGCAGAAGTATTCAGAATTTGCCCATGAACTGACACAAGTGGATGGAATTTCGCTCAAAGGCAATTGCATTGTAATTCCACCAAGCATGCAAAGTGGTGTGCTAGAGCACTTACAAGCCGGTCATCAGGGCGGTGGGAGATGTAGGGCTCGAGCCTCTCAATCGGTGTGGTGGCCAGGCGTTGACCAGCACATCCAAAGTTATGTGTCAAGATACCCTGTCTGTCAACAACACCGTAAACCACACGCCAAGCCCATTATACTCTCCCCACTTCCCAAACACCCATGGGAAGCAATAGGAATTGATCTCTTCTGTGTGGATGGAGTTAACTACCTCGTGGTTGTGGACTACTACTCACGTTTCTTTGAAATAAAGAAGTTGAAGCGTACTACCACAGAGAATATAACTCAAGCACTGAGTCAGATCTTCGCGCGCTTTGGGGCACCGGCTATCATACGATCAGACAATGGCCCTCAGTTTGCTTCGGCACAGTTCAAAGCGTTTGTCAAGCAATGGGATTCAAGTCACGTAACATGGAGCCCCCACTTCCTTCAGAGCAAAGGCGCGGCAGAAAGAACAGTTCAGACTGCTAAACAGCTTATCAAGAAATTGCCAAACATTCACAAGGCTCTGCTCGCGCATAGAGATACGCCAGGAAAAGAAGCATTCACACCAGTGGAACTCCTCACGGGAAGGCGCCTAAGAACTGACGTGCCCATGGCACCACACATGCTGAGGCCACGGTGGAGCACCATAGAATTTACAAAACGAAACGAAGCCCACAGGATCAAGCAGGGGCAACAATATAACCGGAGACATAGGACCTTAGCAAGAGATCCCATTCAACCGCAGACAGCCGTCCGCATTTTGTCTGGTGCTCCAATAACAGGGACCGTCATTGGGCCAGCTCACACGCCTCGTTCATATGTGGTGAGCACACCTGGAGGTCTCACAAGACGCACCAGCAAACATCTCCAGCCGCTACAACCTGTGGCGACAACAAGAAGTGGACGAACCATGAGAGCTCCGAGTCGGCTTGACCTGTGACGAGCAGGAGGGCCACTTCAAAGACGTGGAGGTGTCGTGGACGCAGCCACAAGGAGATGGCGCTATGCGTGCCGCATCACGTGACGTGCGGGAAGATTCGGCGCAGCAGATCGCTGGCGCGAGTGTGTGTGACCGTGTCTGTCAAGCTAACATATAGCCGCGCTAGCACGCATGGTTTAATCCAATTCTTTGACCATAAAACAGCTGTCGTTATCCGTCGGCTCGTTCGTGTTCTCAGTTCCCGACCACGACATACATATTAAGAACATATAAACAATGAGTTTGTGTACAACAGTGATAATTTGATGCAGCTATTTAAAAGCAGAAAGCAGCAAAACATTGCAGCTTCATGTGATAAATAAAACTAGAAGTAAATACCATAAATATAAATACCACATAAATGAATACCATAAAATGAAGAGAGTGATACATTTAGCAGTTCTTTACTATGTCTATGTACCTTTTCTCACATAGAAGCGTCATGCATCATTGGGACCAAAAATAGATGTCTCATCTTTTTCCGGGTGAAGGCATAAACATCAATATTTCCACTTTCATAATTACTGAGAAATAAAGGTACATTATCAGCGATTGATTGCACCAGGTAATTGGTACGCTTTTTCTGGACAAGCCATTCGTTCTGACTGCGAGTGCGTTGGTCACTGAACTGTTGTCGTAGTTCAGACAGTGATTTTGGAAGTAAATAGAACTTTTCAGAGGAGAAGAAGTATGAATAGAGCAAACGAAAGTGATACACCTAAGTAACTCTGATTATGTTAAATTTAGCGAAAAGAGGTAACGTTGTGTGGAGATGTGGAATATTGGCTATGATTCCAAGTGAATGTTTCTGTAGAAGAAAAAGTTTGTGTATGTTAGTATTTGTAGTGATACATCGCACAAGCGTGAAGTAGGTAATGAATCCAAAAGTGCCCGATAAATTTGTAATTTCACTTTTTTCGGAACGAAATGGCGACATCGAGACAAGGCGCCTATTGCTGATATGAAGGATTTTGACAAAATGTCAACATGAGGTGTCCAATTCAACACATTACTGAAAATGGCACCAAGTACCCTATGCTCGCTAACAATCTCAATTGGTACATTATCAAGTAGTGGTTCATTGCATAACGGTACCTGTCTGCCCCTTGTTGTAAACAAGATTGCTTTTGATTTTTTTGTTATTAATTTTAGGCCATTGCGGGAAGATCATTCGAATAGTGTGGAAATGAGCACGTTTGCATTACGAATGACCTCACTAGCTTCTGGACCATAGACAAAGTGGCTGGTATCATCTGCGTATAAAACGATTGTTGCCTTGTTGTGCACGTCTGTCCTGTCATTATTGTAGGTGTTGAACAGAAGGGGCTCTAAGATGCTGCCCTGGTGGACGCCCGATTTTATCTCCGTGTCGGAGGATATACTATTTGCTATGACAACGCGCTGCCTACGATCAAGCATATACGAACTCATCAGAGAGTGAGCCACTCCATGTACACCGTATGCCATTAACTTTTCTAAAAGATTGTTTTGTTTAGATGGTCAAATGCTTTACTATAGTCAATTAATACTCGGAGAACTAGGTTACTTTTTATTGCAATAGCAATTATATGGACACTCCCGGCTGGACTTTGCTGCCGGCGTAGGCGTCGACGTGAACGTCGGCGTCTATGTCATGCACTGCATATGTATACGTGTATATATATATATATATATATATATATATATATATATATATATATATATATATATATATATATATAATATAAAAACGCAAGAAAGAAAAAATCCAGAAAAGAACACTGCGGTGCGTGGAATTGAACGGAGGACCTCTGCGTCGTGAAACCAAGGCGTTACCCACTGAGCCACCTCGGAAAACATTTTTCACCGTTCCCAGACAACGCTCCGACAACCTGAGGTTGTCCTGAGGATGACCTACACCGTACGAAAGTATGACCTGAGGAAGCCCTCAAATGAACCTCAAGTGGTCCTAAACCAGTCCGTTTGTCCGGCCTCAGATCGTCCTCAGGGCATCCAGAAAAGAGCACATTATGATGAGTCTAGTACTTTTTGAGGACGAAGCATACAAGACCTAGGCACTCATCAGACCTTACGAAAAGTTGCTCTAATTCTTCTTTTGGAGCGCTGAAATGACAACTGATCAATCAAAAGTGCCTGAACATGCACACTCTTTAAAGCACTGCCTGTGAGGTTTCAGTAACAATTTCTTCAAGTATAGCAATAAAAACAGCAATGCACAGAAAACATGTTTATTTTCAGGAATGAAACTTGGCAGTTTTCACTAGATGAGACTTCTTGCCCTGTGCCTTCAGAGGTCTTCATCCGATGGGCTTGACAACGCGACACTTTGAAGACATTCTGTAGTAATAGAAAGCAGCATATCTTGAAGCACAAGTGAATTTAGAGTATCAATAAGAATATTAAGACAATAACAGCATGCCAGATTTGAAAGCATAAAATGAAAATTATATTACCATAATGTGCAGGTACGAACTAGCCATTATATAATGGTGAAAATGATTTATATAGTTCATGCTTGCATACACATCAAAATTCGAGTAAGGCAAGAAAATTATTTAAACTATAACAGCAAAAGTATCATATGTTATGATAGCTTCAACAGCACAGATAATAAAACTCACCCTCATGGTGAGTGCGAGAAGTTCTTAAGCGCTGCTTCTGGAGCTTTTCCCCAGCATGCCGAAGCCACACTTTAATCACACACTCGATGTCATTTTTTTTTGTTTCCGGAAAATTTCGCCTCACGGCCTCTGAAAAAGTACAAAGTTCATAAAACAGGAATTACACAAACATAATACATTAATATAATGCTACATAGGTTGTTTGAAGAAGTACCTCTAGTCAGCATGATCGACATTTTGATAGGTGGGCACATCATCATTAAAGGTCCTTGCCATCCTTCCCCATGTTAATTTCAAGAGTACTGACATTGACACTATGTGTTGCATTACAAGAAGAACACCACGAAGAAGACATCATTGTAACTTTTTTGAAACCTAGCATGCAAAGAATGATGAGGCGCCTTTGACGAAAATACGTCCATGTATGAAAATGTTGACCAGCTTGTCTTAGGTACTTATTCCTGTTTAGAGATCCTCAGTGATCACTATGAGCTTCCATCTGTTAGTTTTCATCTGTACATAAGATTTCCACTACAGTTAAGAATGCCTAGTAGTGCTACCTGATAATAACTTCTGCAAGTAGTGAATGCTTGCGTATGTGTGCCATGCAAGTATACTAGTGTGCTTGAAGAAGCTGCAGGGTTTCTTACTGACAACAGATATTTCATGCTAAAAATTTTCCACGTTTAAGCACATAATTTTAATTAGCAAGCATCCTAAAAAATTTAATGCTTTCATGAAAAGATTGTTCTTTTGCTATTGACTTCAAATGAAAGATAATGTGGATAACAGACTTAGAAATGTCTGTACTCAAACACGGCTCTTGCAGCACATGGTGTTGTGAAACAAATTACTCACTGCAAATGACATCTGTGACACCTAGATCCACAAACTTCCTTTTGCCTTTTTGGCCTGCCCAGCTGAACTGCACAGCAACCTCAAGGCTTAGCAGAAGCTCCAGCATCCTCCTGGCTGCTGCCCCAAAAGTTGAGCCACCAAGGCCAGCAAGCTGCTGTATCTGTACAGTTTTGAGGTCATTATTTTTTTTAGAAGAGTAGCTTAATGCAGTGACTAGAAAAAAAAAATTATAGAAAAATATAATGAATGACGTACAAGCTTTAGCTTAATGTTGCCATCAGCAGCAAGTCTCCCCTCAAGACTTAGAAATTGGTCAATATCCTTGACCGGTGTCAAAACCACATCATCATTTGTCTCATCTTGAAGCCTCACTTTTTTTCCGACATCTCAAGACGCACTTTGCTTCCAAGTCTGGTCACTTTTGGGCCACGTACCCACAGTGTCAAGAGCTTGTTCATGACACCCAAGCACACAAGGTGCATGTAATCTAATGGTATATCTTTCACTAGGTCAAAAGGAAGTTCCTCAAGAATACTTTCGCCTGTGTGATGCTCCTCCTGGACTTTTAAGCGAAAGCTGTCATCTGTTCGCTTGCGAGCATTGACGTTTGGGAAGCACACCCTGCCCTCACAGTAGACACCTTTTACGTCACATTTGGTGCAGCTGTAATAGCCTGTGTGGCTTCTGACATATAATACAAATGCCTTTGCTGGTGCATCACATATGAGGGCATACAAGCTAACAGGAATTGCAGTTTCTCCAATGGTAATCCCTGTTGTGATAGCAGCATTTATGTCACAAACAAATGGTCGCAAAAAATCATTCGCGTTGTTGGGCTTGCTGCTTCCGAAAAAAACACCCACTATAAATGGTGCTTTGTCCTCCAAATTACTTATGCGTCCCAGTATGCACCAAAATTGGCCCCGTGAACTTTTTGAAACCGGCAGACCGTCAATGTTGAAGCTAAGCTTCAAAATTCTTGGTAGTTCTGCACAATCTTGCAGCACTCGCTGTAGGCCTGCACTGAGGCCGAAATGATGGTATTTCCCGCCGGCCAGCTGCAACACTTCCAGGCACTTCTTGGGCGTCTGTAACAATGCCCTTGCAGTTGAAGGGAGCGCGCTGAAGCATTCGTGGGACTGTAGTACTCTCAAGAGCGATGTAACTGAAGTGTGCGATGCGCGAGATTGTAAGGCCCACGCTTGCAGTCTCTCACGAAAGGCCAGCAAGCTGTCCACACTGCCGCGTTCACAAACTTGCTCTTCGTTACTCCCAGTCGGTGCCAATTCGAAAGAATCCCTCTGCCTCACCTGCGAGGTCGCCGAAGTCGAAGCCGCAGCGCTGCTGTCATGGAAGGCACGCCGTTCGAAGTCTGTGTGATCGTGAGGCACAGAAACACTGCAGCCGCTGGGGTAGCACGCGTCGCCAGAAATCAAAACGTGTCCTTGGGGCACATCCGTTTCTGGAACGATCGAGGAGTGTGCCGAAGGCCGTTCTCTGTCATGAACACAAAGGCGACGATGGCCGTCTTCGAGGTCGACCGCACAAGCCTCGGAGGGCAAGTCGCTCTCTCTTTCGGCGTTGCGGGAATCTCGGTCAACGTACCGCGTGTCATTTATGACATCGGCCTCACTGTCAATAAGCTGAAAACTAGCATTGACGCGCCGATTAATTTCACGCCGAAATTTGCGATCCGCGCTCTCAGCCATCTTGAACAGCACAGAGCACAGTAGAATGGTGGCTAGACCAAAGAACACCCACCACCAGAACACGTTGTTAGGCTAGTCAGTTGGTTTGTACATACATACATGAATAAGCAGTAAAGATATACAGCGCGAGGCTGAAAATCAACTGTCCTCTCTTTTTTTATTTATTTACCTTTGCGGCTTACAACTTCAATATGAAAATTTAACAGAAGACACTCACCTGGCATGCTTACGATTCTTTGAGGGCTTCTGCGAGAAGCTTCCTCTATGGCGAGAAGTGTTGTATTGGAATGTTGACTCGACCAATGACTCGACTTGACTTACTGCAGGCCCATAATGATGATGATGATAGTTGCGTCACTTTAAAATGGGTAAACAGTGTCGTAGACATCCAGATTTAAAAGCACCTTGACTGCGCATGGTGACCGCATTAAGGTACTGCTTTTTTTTTGTTAGCACCACCACAACTTCAGTCGCCCATTCGTTTTCCCACAGCGTTCTAGTTCCAATGCTGCTCTATTCACGATAACCTAGGCCAGCCCAGTCGTCAGCATGGTCAGTTGTCGTCTGCTCGATGGGACCGTGCGGCATTGCAACACTGGACACTCGAGAATAACGTGCTCGCTATTCACAGTTTTCACGCCTGCATTCATTTTGGAGCCGACACCGTTTATACTCGCACCAAACTTGGTCTGCCGCACGTGCGTTCATTGGGGAAACGGGTCAGACCACAGTCAGTGCGATATAATTCCGTATGCACGTCGGCGGTAGATCACGACCAACGAAAACGTGCAGGCAGAAAGTTTGGCCTACGATCACTTACAAAGTAAATAAATAAATAATAAATAAAAGAACACGTCTTTCTCGTGTTGGCTTGAAGTGCTTCCTCGTGTAACTATCTCATTTTAATGATCGAGAAGTACTTTACTATTATGACTCGAAAGTAGGCATACGAAATCCCGTGGACTTATTCGTTAACAGCCAGAAAATTAACCAAACACGAATTGCGAAAGCTGCATGCACCTACGAAACATGCATATCCTCAAAACGTCCTCGAGCAGACGATATCAGGACAATTCTTCGTCCTTAAAAAGGTCTCAAAGGGGCATTTTGGGGATAATCCTGCAAGTGTCGACTAGAGGACCAAATGAGGACGTCCTGAAACTGCCGAGGACGTTTGTACCATATGAGGACGACCTCAGGTCGTCGAGTGTTGTCTGGGTTCAAACGGCAAGCTGTTTATATCTACCATTTACCGCTGCTCACGAGCATCTCTGAGGGAGGGTGGAGGGAATCATGTTTTCAGCATTACTAGCAAGATGGCACAATGAGCACGCGTCACCGCATCGTGCAGCGGTGCCCGCTCTAATCTCCTACGCATACTTTGCCCGGCTCAGAGAAGGGAAGTGCCGCTCCCTCAAGTGCTCTTATCTCGTGGTGGTGAGGAGGAAAAGGTCGTACGCCTTGGCTGGCCTTAGACTTTAAATGGAACGATTCGGCTGTAATTACTGGGGCACAAAGGGCACTGAAATTATTTCAGTCTCCGTTTGCAAAAAGCGCGCGCTTTTCAGACACAGCAAAGTAACAAATGCGCGCATTCGCGTGCATCCGTACCTGTGAGTATGTTATGCGCGTCGTTTGTGCGGGGCATGTTTCGATTTGCGTTCCATTCTGCACATGACCTTTCAATTTGTTTCAATGACATTCATTTCTTCGCCTTTCAGGCAAGGCTGCGACTTTTTCAAGGTTATTTATGATTAATTACTTCTGGACAAGCAGTGCAGTTTCTGTACAGCGTCCTTTGCGGAAACCGTGTTGACACTTATTTAGAGCGTTACATTTTATAAGAAAGCTGTTAAAGAAAGCAGAGGAGAGAAAATAATTTTTCAAAACCCTCAGAAAATATTCACAGTTTCGAGATTGATTCGTAATTGCCCAAGTCGTTTTCATACCCAACTCTAAATATGACCAAAGCTTTGGCTATTTTCACTGCACTATGGTATTAACCACATTATAAGGCCGAATTAAATATGTTTGTTAAGTGGGGTGCAATAATACCAATCACTTATTTTACAGGACTAACTTGGAGCCCATCGATATCAATTGCTTTGCTATTTTTTAGTCTGTAAGTTGTTCGGCAAACTTCTGAATTATCTGTTGACTCTAAAGATAGAGTTTGTGGGCACTTATCTATGATCTCCGCGTCTGTACGGACCAGAGTGGTGGCCAAGGGAGTGGCAGGTTTCACGTTTGTTAAATACTGGTTGAGTCGTTCGGGCAAGGGACTGCCAGAAATTTTGTTATTGTTCAAAGTGATTTACAACTCAGGAAAGTTGAGACTTTTTGGATTGAGCACACTCTTTATAATTTTGCATATCTGGTTTCTTTTGGGCATCACCAAACAGGTGATAATAGGAATCCTTAGCTTCCTTAGCTTTTCATAGATTTTTGTTTAATTTGTTTCTGTATTTATTGAATGTTGCAAGGTCCTAGAATTCGTGTGAGCGCTGAAATTTCCTAAATAACTTGTTTTTTTATTTTCTAAATCACTAAAAACTTCCTAAACTATTTCAAAAACTTCCTATTTCCTAAATACCTAAAAATTTCCTTAATAACCGATCTTACTTTTCAACGTTATCGTTTTGTATGGAAAGGATATGTGGTAAATGCGACGAAAGGTAGACAGGAACTGATTATAGGCTTCTGAAGCATCATTCTTGGAATAGATTGAAGACTAGTCGGCATTCATCCCGCTTGCGCGAAATGAATTGATATTTTTACTCGATATAGGCCTGTATTATATGGTTGATTTACGCTGTTCATTCTTACTTGTAAAGAATGAGTTCACGATAAAAACCATACAGTGGTCAAGAATCCCACCACTAACAGTACCGGCAACATTGACTTACGTGTCCACACTACTAATGAAATTGTCAAGAGCAGAATGGCTACGCACACATACACAGGTGGGCGTGTTGATAACACTACAAAAACCAAAGGTACTTAACACGAAGGAGAATTCATGTGATAACTGGGGTCAAGCACATTAGCGTTCATGTCACCGCCAAGAAGAAAGTTATAGCTGTTCAAAGCTGCATAGTCAAGTACTTTTTCAAGGTATGCTAAGAAATTGCTGACGTTTCCAGAAGAATGATGCTATACAGCCAATAATAAAGCGCTATCAGATGTTGTGTACACCGTTTCATAGTTGGCTGTTGCACATGAAAACTGCTGCATGGTACCCTTAACATGCATGGCCACCCAACCCTCTTGAGTTATTCTATTTGTAAAAAAGTCTGCATAACTATTCGACACCAATCTGTCACTGTTTTCAGTATACCACGTCTCAGAGAACATGATAGGAAACAAGCAACAACCACCAGGGGACCATGCCTAGACTTCCTTTCTGTCAACTTTAGGCTAGATACAATACCACAAAGCAGTAATAATGAAGGCATAATGAAATTGAGAACTCCACACACCATACCAGTTAAGACCAATAAACATTTTATATATCCGTACACCACTTGGCACACATTAACATGCGCGAGTGGTCAATGTCATGGATGCTTTACGGTGAACCCAAACGATGTTACTGCTTCACCCACTTATCATCATTCACATCGTGTACATGCCATGACTCTCTTAGTTCATCGTGAGCTATCTTCTAGCGTAGCGCGGATATAAGCAGGGACAAGCAAGAAAAACACCAGCTCTTATGTTGGTCGCATACTTTTCTTTTTTGGCCTTTTCTGCGCTTTGTTATAAAAGCTAGTTTACCGCAATACTGTAGCGCATGAATGTAGTTACGTGGTATTTCATGTTTCAGAGGTTATCTTTAGAAGCCGAAAAAGATTAATCGAGCATCTATACATCGGGAGGGTTGAATTGGTCGTTTTAAAATTTGCTTCACAACGTGACGATACCCCAAGGCAAAACTCAAACGAGCTAAAATGAGAGAGGTAGATATTAAGAATCAAGAAGAATGCAATGTAACGGCCACTATATTTAAAAGTGAGAATGGACGATTGATCTTAAAAGAATAAATAAATAAAGGCAATATGAAGAATACCCTAACGCGCACCACATGACAACACAACATATTTCTTTCATTCCAATTAATTGCCAACCACATTTCTAGTCTTTGGTTTTTTGTTAGCCCAAGGCTATGTATAACAGGAATCCTGCATAAACCATTTCACTCTCGCAACAAAACGATGTGAAAAGATCCCTACCAGGACTTCGAGCGTGCGGCCTATGTCCAGGATTGACTTGATTCCGGACGACACTACAGTGACAGGACTGCGACCAAGTTCCATGACGTCCGGACTTATGTCCAAACCTGGGTGTTATGAAAAAAAATGTTACCTATTTTGAGAACAGTACAACTTCACTCAGTCCTGAAAGTTCTTGCAGCATTATATATATTTGGCAGCGTGCGCATTTGTTCGAACGAAAAATTGCTCTCAAGATAATTAGGAGAGTAAACACTCAAATTCTGTGCATATAACACCCGATAATACACCGTTACTCGTGAGTATATTAATCACTGCGTCAATCGTTTTCTCGATAAGAGCCAAGTACCTGTGTAAAAGAGAGGCTCTGAATTCCTGCACGTTCCCTCTCAGTGCTAGCCCATTATTGGCTTCTTTCATATTTGTTTCTGTCGTTCCTTCTTCCAGTCTATACGAATTCGAAACCATACCATTCTATGATTACTGCATTGTACCTTGCAAAGCACTTCCACAACCTGCACAATGCCTTGGTGTGCACTCAATAGAAAGCCAATTTCGTTCTCACTGTCGCCATTAGGGCTCTTTCTTGTCCACTTACGATTAACTCGTTTTCAGTAGAGGGTATTCAAGATCCGTTAACTACTGCTGTCTGCGAATTCTACTAGTGCATGCCCTCTGGCATTTATAGTAGCGATGCCATTATCTCCTACTGCCTGATCTCCAGCCTGATTCTTTCCTACCTTTGCATTGATGCCTCCCATCAGTATAGTATGCTGTGTTTTTACCTTACTGATTGCAGATTTCAAGTGCTCTTATACGCTTTTAACTAGCACTTCATCGTAGCTTGATGTAGACGCGTAAGCCAGTACCACCTTCATCTTGTATATTTTATTTAGTTTATTTACGATACCTACCACATTTTCATTGTTGCTATAGTATTACTCCATGTTTACAGCTACATTTATGTGGATCAGGAGCGCCACGCTCACTTTTATTCGGTCGTTCAAGCCACAATAGCAAAGGACGTGTCCATTTTTTAGCACTGCATTAGGCCTCATCTGTCCTCCTAAACTCACTGAGCACCATTACATCCCCTTTAACACCCTCTAGCACCTCGAATACTATAGCTAGACTTGTCTCACTAGATAATGTTCTAGCGTTAAATGTCGCCAAGTTCAGCTTCCAATAGAGGCCTATCCTGACCCAGAGATTCTTAGCACCCTCTGCTGCGTTCCAGATCTGACCGCCACCGTGGTCAGTTGCTTCGCTGCGGCTGGGAACTGAGGGCTGTCAGTTAATTGATGTATGTATGTGGGAGTTAATTGCGAGGTACTGCACCAGAGTGGTCACTCCTTCTCTGGTGAGGGAGTGCTTTACCGGTGGAGGTCACCGGTGAGGCCGTACCCCAGTCCTCTTACTGCAGTTCCATCACCACACGAATTTTTTTTTAAATCCAGTCGAAAACTTGGTAGCACCGCGATTTGAACTACGGACATCTTGCACGTGAGGCTGATACCCTAGGCACAACGCCAAACTCACCCTTGAACTACCGCCCTATTTCATTAACCAGCGTGCCTTGTAAGATCATGGAACACGTCATCTACTCACAAATCTTCAATTTTTTGGACTCCAACGAATTTTTTCATCCTTCACAGCACGGATTTCGAAAGGGCCTTTCTTGCGAAACCAATTAGCACAATTCGTTCATGACCTACAGACTAATCTCGACTGTAATATCCAAACCGACTCATATTCCTTGATTTTGCAAAAGCTTTCGACAAGGATCCTCACCAGCGTCTGTTACTGAAACTTTCAAAACTAAACTTGCATCCTAACATCTTCAGGTGGCTTGAGGAGTTTCTAACTAACCGCTCGCAATCTGTCTATCTTAACGGCCACCTGTCTAAACCACTCCCAGTCACCTCAGGGTCCCACAAGGGTCTGTTCTCGGTCCTCTCCTATTCCTAATATATATTAATGACTTGCCATTGCATGTTTCCTGTAACATTCGCATGTTCGCTGACGATTGCGTAATCTATCATACTATTACTAATTGTCATGACCATCACATCCTTCAGAGCAACCTTAACAATATAATAAACTGGTGTAATATTTGGCTAATGACTCTCAACCCACTAAATGCAAACTCTTGTCCTTCTCTCGTCGCCACAATCCCTCTCGCTTTCAGTATTCTATTTCTAAATCATGTATCGAATTAGTAGAATCGTATAAATATCTAGGAGTCACCCTTTGTTCTAATTTATCATGGCGCGCCCATATTACAAACATCATTTCAGCATCGAACAAAACACTGGGTTTTCTTAAACGCCACCTTCGCCTTTCCCCACCACATGGTAGATTACTCGCGTATAAATCGCTTATAAGACCAAAATTAGAATACGCATCTGCCATCTGGAGCCCCCATCAAGCATACCTAATCACTGCCTTGGAAGGTGTTCAAAATCGGGCCACCCGTTTCATCCATTCCTCATATTCATATGACATCAGCATTTCACCACTACGTTGCTGCAAAGACTGTGCAGTGAAAATGGGAGGTGCAGTAGTTAGACAGGACACTTGCAAGCTGTCCCAGGAGGCGAAGAACCTAATTAGGAACGTCAAAGCACAAAAGCCTCGAATACAATAAGCAAAAGAGAATTGGCTGAGCTTACGAAGTTGAATTATAAGCGTAAGGTATCCGTCGTAAGAAGGTATAAAATGAAAAGAGTGGAACACGCTCCATAGAACGAAGGAAGCGTCAAAGCGGTGAAAAGAAAACTTAGGATACACAAAAGTTAGTTGTATGCAGTGAGGTACAAACAAGAAAAAGTAACTACCAATATGGATAGGATAGACAAGAAAAGCGGAAGACTTTTATAGAGATGTGAACAGTAGCTTGAACAACCCCGACCTTAATGTAAAAAATAGCAGTAAGCCTTATGGCATCCCACCAGTAATGACAGTTAAGTCAGAAAAGCCTTGAAGGGAACGTGAAGAGGCGAAGATGCTGGTGATGATCAGATAACATCAAATCTGCTGAAAGATGGGGGACACATTGTGTTAGTTAAAGTAGTCGCCATAATTATGGAGTGTCTGCTGACGGGAAAAGTACCAGAATCTTGGAAGAATGTATGCATCATCCTAATGCACAAGAAAGGAAATGACAAGGGCTTGAAGAACTACAGGCCAATAAGCTTGCTCTCCGTCGTATAAAAGCTATTTACAAAAATAATTACTGACAGAATTAAGGCAAAATTAGAATTCGATCAACCAAAGGAACAAGCAGGATTTCAAGCAGGCTACTCAACAATACTATCAATGAGGTAATAGAGAAATGCTCATAGTACAGCCAATCACTGTACAGAGGGGTTCAAAGTTTAAGGGATGACTTTTGTGGGCACCATGTCCGGATCTTACTCTCTGGCAGAAGCATAGTGACTTAGATTTGCATAAAAATACTGCTGTTTCACTTCACCGACTCCTTTTTATAGACTAGTGTCATGAGCGAACAAAGTTTCTACGTATACTTGCAGTTATCAGGCCCGCAATACGGCAGGTGCTGCCCGCCATGGTGGTTTAGTGGCTAAGATACTCGGCTGCTGACCCGCAGGTCGCGGGATCAAATCCCGGCTGTGGCGGTTGCATTTTCGATGGAGGCGAGAATGCTGCACGCTTATGTGCTCCGATTTGGGTGCACGTTAAGGAACCCCAGGTGGTAGAAATTTTTAGAGCCCTTCACTACGGCCTCTCTCATAATCATATGGTGGTTTTGGGACGTTAAACCCCACATATCAACCAATGTGAATCAACGACAGGTGCTCGTTGGAGAGTTCCCTTTAACAGTGAATGATGCTGTACTAGACTTCATTAATTACGAGAAGGCATTAGATATAGTAGAAATATCAGCAGTCATGGAGATACTGCGGAATCAGGGTGTCGACAAAGCATATATAAACATCCTAGAAGAAATATACAGAGGATCAACAGCCACCATGGTGCTTCTTAAAGTGATAGAATACCAATCAAAAAGGATACAAGACAGGGTAATACCATCTTCACAGTGTTATTTATTGCATGCTTACAGTAGGTTTTCAGAGGCCTAGAATGAGAAGAATTAGAATTGAGAGTTAATAAGAGTACCTTTGTAACCTGTGTTTCGCCGATGATAATTAAATGCTTAGTAACTCCGCAACAAATTGCAACTCATGATTACGAAGTTAGACAAGGAGAGTAGAAACGTAGATATTAAAATTATTCTGCAGAAAACTGAAATAATGTACAACAATCTCGGAAGAGAAGAGCAGCTTTCAGATAGGTAATAGTGCACTTGAATTTGTAAAAGACCACGTCTACTTACAACAGGTAATAACCGTGGAGCCGAACCATGAGAATAAAGTTACTAGAAGGATAAGAATGGGATGGAGTACATTCGGCAAACATACTCAAGTCATGAGTGGTATATTGCCACTATCTCTCGATAGGAATGTATATAACAGCTGCATCTTGCCAGTACTTACCTGCGGAGCAGATACTTGGAGGCTTACAAAGAGGGTTAAGCTTAAATTAAGGATGACGCAGTGAGCGATGGAAAGGAAAATGATAGGTGTAACCTTAAGATACAAGAAGAGAGCGGAGTGGATCAGGAAAAAAAACCAGGGTTAAGAATATCATAGTTGAATTCACAAAGAATAAATAAAGTGGATTGGGCGTGTACCGTGCAGGCAGGATAACCACTGGTCATTAAGGGTAACAGATTGGAATCGCAGGGCAAGTGGATTAGGGGGAGACAGAAAGGTGGGCAGATGAGATTAATACGTTTGCGGGTGTGATGCGGCAGCAGGAAGCAAATGACCGAACTGACTGACGGAACATGGGACCGACCTTTGTCCTGCTGTAGACCTAGTCTGGCTGATAATGATGATACACTGTATTCCAAAGCAAAAGTATGTTGTCTGACAGACACGGTGCAAACCTTTACGCGAAGGTTTAACATTAATTCGCTATCCACACCGACTCTTTCGAAATGAAGGATACAACATAATAAACCTATTACAGCAGAGCGACCATGCTCGATGTTTGTCGTACGTGTTATGTAGAAAGTTATCGCCATGGGCATAAACCGGCATGCACTCCAACACGGCCGGAGCTGTCGGTACAGATGGTTAGCAAGAAAAGCTGAAACAACGGTCTTGCTTGAATTCCAATGATTCGTTGTACCTCACCTCTTGGCTACGTCTGTAGAGAAATTTAATCGCTGTTTGCTGTCCAAGTGGTAATGCTTAGCGGACCACCAGCTCTGCTGCGACCTACGGTGGCGCGAATTAATAAAAGATGCGCTTTTTTCAGGAAATAAGTATAAGAGATAATAATTTTTACGTGTCATTTGTAATGCACAACGCTAGCATGCATGAGTACAGTTATTTATACATTCGACTGGTCAAAAGCATGCTTTTATTGCTTCTACAAATAAGCATTACTGCTTGTCCCCAGCCAACACTATAGAAATGATGCGTCGCTGTCATAGAGGGACGATACTTACTGAACTCTCCACCCCTGTGCACTCCACCGATGCCTCCTGTAGCAAACAGTTGTATTCCAGCCCGGTTGCACGCGACCATGGTTGCCGACACTGTGGTTCCCCCGGAGAGGCCCTGCAAGTGCGCAATAAGCAACAAACCCCAGTTGCTGCATGTTCTTACTGAAATTTGTTTGCAAGATCTGTAGTACCTCGATCAATGTAAATAAAAGAGAAATATGCAAGCCAAAAAATTTTGCAGATCCCACGTACAGTCGTAATCGATGACATAGCCGCGTCCTTATTTGTGCCCAGCTATGCGCTTGCGTCGGTGAAGACGACGACTGATCCGCTTGAGAGGTGCACCACGAGAAACAGACGAAGAAGCATTTATTTCGACCGAGTACACTTTTGATGTCACTGAGAGAACAGCGTCCTTCTGTTCAATACAATAGAGCCCCCTAATTTATGAACTGCGACACTGGTGGAAGTGCTGGGTACCGTTGCCTCATGATTGCCAGTCCTGTGAGCAGCCCTAGTGCCAGCCCCGCTAAGCACTCACGCGTAGAAGCTTCGGTACACCACCCAAGCCGTAGCCTTCAAGGTCTGGGCCCCTAATTCCGCCCCTTACAAAGATTACCTCTGTCAACAGACACTCCTGTTCAAGAGATGGCCTCATCAAGCAACCCAACACAGGTAACACTCTAGAACCTTTGGATTCTTGCGCTTTTTTATGATCACGGAAACGACGGTGCGGAAGACAGGCTAGCTAGAGCAGTTTAATCAGGTAGAAAGGTCCAACCACTGGATCTCTGACGGCGAGAATCTATTCAACGTATACTTAGCGCTTGAAGACAACGCTAGGATGTGGTTTATAAACAGCGAGAAAACTTTGACGTGAGACGAGTTTCGCCGTCGGAAAATTGATACCTTCGGAAGCCCAGACTGAAGTAAAAACACGCAGCGCCATTTTTCGAATCGCGCATGCAACAGCCAAATGATGGATTCATGATGTTTGCGGAAGACATTGTGCGTTTGTTTCGCCGCGTGGACCTCAACATTTTCGAAGCTAAAAAAACTCAGCCATCTCATGCGCGGCACCAAGGAACACCTGTTCGCTGGCCTTGTGCGCATTTCTCCGACTACAGTGGACATGTATATTAGGGGGCCACGGTTCAAGCGCGCCTTGCACCAGTGGTACCAGCAATACAATTGCCTCATGAGCAACGCATCTGTAGGTGCTGCCGCTACGACAACTTCGTCTGATGAGAGCTGCCTACAGCAACTGATTCGGCAGATTGTACGTGAGGAGATCACCAAAGAGAACGCAGGGCACACATGACAATGCATCGCAACTACCACCGAAACCGGAGGTCACAGTTGCCTCCATCGCTGAAGTGGTGCGCCACGAACTCCGACAGACAATCGCTTCTACCGAGACTGCTTCCACCCGAGCCTCCTTAGCTTCCACCGAGCCGCTTCCCCCGAGCATCTGGCGTCGCTGCATGCCGCTGGCTGGTAGTGTCCTACCAGCCAGCAGCATACTGCGATGCCGACGCTGTTCGTTGCTCGTTGTCTAATTGAACTATCATACCAGCCGAAAGCATACAGCTATGTGGACGTTGTTAATTGTCCGTTGTCCGCGCCGTTTCCACAGTACAACCAACCACGTCCTATCACAGCCTGGACACAACGGACCTCTGCCCCCTGCTAAAGACCGATATATTGTGCACCGCCAATCGCAGCCCTTTGTGCTACTATTGTGAGCAACAATATTCATCGTTATTTCGCGTACCTGGTAACTACTCGCCACCATTTTGATGAAAGCCGTGCCTCCTTTGACGACAACTCGGCCGGCCGGCAACAAAGCTCCTCTAGCCTGTGCATGCGCTCACCATCGTCAGCTGGGTTTTCTTCCCCAAGCCTCCGGAGTTTTTCCGACGTCGCCTGAGTTCGGTCGCCGAACTCACGACGGGAAATCTAAAAGCAGCGACCTTTAACCAGCCAACAAGAACGCAACGCCCATCGGTATTCAGACTTTCCAGCACCTGTAGGTGGAGCGAAGAGAGTTTCAATATGGCGGCTTTGATTTATATGTGGTGTTTAGCGTCCCAAAACCACTATATTGTTACTGCATATGTGATTCGGGTATGAGCCGGTGGGTAGCGAGAAACAGGCAGATTAGAGAAGAGGACGTTCGGCTAGTGAGATAGGCCTCCGGTGCATGACCCCTTGAAGTCTACCAGTACGCCTCAGCATAATAAATACATTACTAAACGTAACAGAGTGGTGGAGGTGCTGGTTACAGCACATCGACGAACCACGGAGCCACAGCTGTTTGAACTTCGCTGGTGCCGTCGTCTTGCTGGTCTGCCACCGACAACAACCATCATGACCGAGAGTGAAGGTCACGGCTCCTCAACCACGCAAAGGTCAGTGGCGGCTGCACCTCGGTATCGCTATATGGAACCCCGCTTGTTCGCGGGAAGAGCAGGGGAAGATTTGGATGCATGGCTGACCCATTACAAAAGGGTGAGCCGGTACAACGGCTGGAATCCCACCGACCAACTGGGAATTGTCGCGCTGTTTCTCACGGAAACCGCCTTGATGTGGTACCAAAACCACGAAGATTCTTTAACAGCGTGGGATCGTTTCGCCGAAGAACTCAAGAAATGCTTCGGAGACTCTGATTAGAAAAAGAAAAGCGCGGAACGCGCGTTGGCTCAAAGAGCCCAGACTCCTGGAGAAACGCGTACCACCTACATAGAGGAGATTGTGATGCTCTGCAAGATCTTAGACCCGTATATGTCTGAAGAGGACATGGTCGGACACCTTCTGAAGGGTATAGCAGAGGACGTCTACAATTTTTTGATAGGCAGGGAAGACCTCACTTCCGTATCCGCCGTCCAACGTCGTATTGCCCCGAAATTTGGTAGGCTGGCAAATGTCACAACGGTCGCCAGCGTCGACGCAAGCCCGCCTGCTGACCTTGCCGGTACTATCAGGGCAATAGTGCGCGAGGAGCTACAGCGACAAGACACACTGGCCGACGACACCTTCCATCATCCGCCTACCTGTTCATCCTACTACCCGGCGCCGTTCCCTCCTCTGCCACCATCGGTATGTGCGACGGACTTTAGCGAAGCTGGAAATTCCTGGCCACGCTGAGACTCATTCGCGCCTGACCAGCAGTATGACCGACGCCTTCGTACCGGCCCCGCTCCACAAAGGCGGGCAGTTCCTGTTCAGCAAGCTGCTCCACTCCGTTCGGGTAGGCGACCTTACACAGCGGAGCGCTCTCAGCCGTAGTTCGGCGAACGACCCCTGCCCGTCTGCTACAACTGTGGCGTCGAAGGCCACATTGCCAGGTACTGCAGCTACCGGCAGCCGGCAAGGTACGACCGCTCACCGAGATCCCACCTGTCTGGCTTTGCACGAACACCAACATCCCCTGGAAGCGCGTCCCATGAGATACCAAGGCCGCTGCGACACCGTTCTCCGGCCTCTCACCGCAGTCTGACACCCCCGCCAGCCCGTCGCTCCAATCGGTCGCTGTCTCCTAGGCGCCGCTACCCTTCGCCACCACCGGAAAACTAGTCAGCGCGACTGTCGAAGGTGAGGTCGCTGGACAGTCTTCGATTTCCGCAGAAATTCCTCATTTAATTTGCATGTTTGGAAATAAGGTTCGTGTGCTAATCGACGGTGTCTCAACAATGGCCTTAGTGGACACAGGTGCAACCATATCAGTGATGAGTGTAGCATTCAAACACTTTCTTGGACGAAAGGTTATGTTCCGTTGGGACCGTGCTGATACATTTCGTGGAGTGAGCAGAGATGTCTTACAACCTGTTGGCGTTTACTCAGTGACGGTTAGTTTGGGTGGCCAGAATTTTATCGCTGATTTTGCTGTTCTCTTTCATTCAACGCATGATGTAATTCTAGGACTTGATTCCCTGAATCTTTGTGGTGCCACTGTTGATTGCCGCAAAGGAGAGATTACAGTAGATTCAAATGTTCCGGAAGCGTTTATGGGTAGCCCGCCCTGTATAGAAAGCACCCTTTGCATGTCCATGGACACAACTGTCCCACTCATGTCTGCCAAGTGTGTTCCTGTTGTCAGTTTCCCTGCAACCGAGACGACATTTGATGCCACCGTAGAGCCCATTCACCTCAGCTGCATAAAGAATAATGTTGTAATACCCTTGTGTACATTGTCGGTTGTGCAAGGGCATACTGGTTTGTGGTTGATCAACAACTCCAATGAACCTTCGGTACTGCCAGAGGGTCTACAACTTGCTAAGATCCGTCAACATCAGGTTTCACCCTTGCCATCCTTGCATAGAGCAGTGATTCTCCGGATAAGACTGATTCCAATCATTTGCACTGCAGGGACACCTCCATAATGGCAATGATTGACAAGTCTCTTAGCACCAACGAGCGTAATAACCTGGCGAATATTTTGCGCAAACATGCTGGTCTTTTCGATTTCGCACAGCTACAGGCTCCACTGTCATTCCCTGCTTCTCGTGTAAAGCACCGCATAGATATGGCATACCATAGACCTCTTCGAGAAAAGCCATACCGCGTATCGCCTTCGGAACGCGCAGTGATAAATGAACAGGTTGGCGAGATGCTAAAGAAGAATGTGATTCAGGAATCATGCAGTCCGTGGGCCACTCCCGTAATATTGGTCAAGAAGAAAGATGGAACATGGCGATTTTGCGTTGACTACCGTCGTCTCAGCGCCATCACAAAAAGGACGTGTACCCACTACCACGTATTGACGATGCTATAGACTGTCGTTCGTCAGCCTCCTACTTTTCGTCTGTTGATTTGAGGTCAGGGTATTGGCAGATTCCAATGCACGAGAAAGATAAAAAGAAAACGGCATTTGTAACACCAGATAGACTTTTCGAATTTAATGTGATGCTATTAGGACTATGCAATGCGCCTGCAACTTTCGAGCGCTTCATGGACAACATTCTGCGTGGTTTTAAGTGGGAAGTATGCAAGTGTTATCTAGACGATGTTGTGAGTTTTGGGCGCACTTTCTGTGAGCACAACACACGCCTCGACCTCGTGCTGAACTGCCTAAGCAAAGCACGCTTGGTGCTCAACTCAAAGAAATGTCGTTTC